TGTCAGCTTAAGATGTTGTCAGTCAGTTAGTTTCTTTCTTTCCTATTAGTTTGTTTCTAGGGAAGGCCACCAGGGGCATACTTGTAATCTCCCATTCCTTTTATATTAAGTTAATATAAATAACTAAACTGGCGGCAGCCAGTTTTTTTGTCTCTCAATCATATCTTCCTCTTATTCTCTTTCTCTCTCTCGTCTCTCTCTCTCCATGAATGATTACAATAACCAAGCACCTGCAAAGAATAAAGAAAAAGTTCAAAAGGTCCACATAACAGTTCAAATTAGAAAATGTGGAATTGGAATCAGTAGGTCTGTTCACCAAATGTTAAAAAACTGACAAAAACGTCCCAACTCAACCCGATTTGGTCGGTTTTTAAATGGATCAGTTTGGTTTCGGGCTTTTTTATCAAGCCAATTTCGATTTTGTTGATTGTAAAATCCAACTTATCAGCTCAGTTGTGGGTTATGACTTTGCAAACTGAGTTGAAACTGAACCAAACCGACTAGATAGTGATCATACTTATAATGTTAGGCATCTCAGAAAAAATAAGCTGACCTCTTGTGTTCTTATTTACTTTTTTTTTGTTACTAACTGTTAACTTTTTTCAGCCAACGGCTGCTGTTTTTCCTACAGTCCCATTGTCCTAGACTCCTAAGCTCTGTCATCTCTTTCCTAGTTCTCATAAAAGTCAAAAAGGACAAAAACAAAGGTCCTATTGTTCTAGTCTTCTAGACTCCTAGTCTACCAATTGTGGTATTTGTAAAACATGACACTTTTGATAAATTTAAATGATCAAATCCACCATTGGCCATTGGGTGGATTAATCTTCTGGGCCTATTCTACCTTTATGGTGTGCCAAGTTACATTGGGTCAATTTTCTAAAGAAAAGGGATGATGAAAAGGTATGGCACTGAACAACAGTAGTTGCAACTTGCAATGGTTGCAACCACATGACACTGGATCCAAATTCTCGCCTGGCTTGTTCCAACAAATAAGGTTGATAAGAGTTAATAAATGCAAAAAGAGCATTTGGTCGGTTAACCGATGAAACTGACCAAAATAGAAAACTAATATCACAATCACTTTAGGTGTCTATCGGTGGGTTTCAATTAGATGAATTGTAAACCTGACAGTGTTGGTTCAGTTGGCATAATTAAGTAAAACCAAACCGAACTGACCCATATACAGACCTAGGAATCAGATAGTACAGCTCAAATTCATCCCCCAGCCTAAAAAAGATAACTATACAATAAAAGAACAAAAACAATACAAATTACATTCACTGGAAAATTTTACATGTAGGAACAACTTCCTGGTACATATAGAGGACAGTGGTAACAGCAAAGCCAATCTAATATCAAGAAAAAAAACGCTTTCCCAAAACAAAAAGAAATGGAAATAAAATGCAAGCTGGCGATTCAATCATATTTGACAATTGGATGTCGGCTGCTTTAATTAAAATGCAAAGCAATCAGAAAGAAAACACGAATCACGATGAAGTAATAAACCTGGCGGGTAAGATCGAAATGAGACAATATAACCTCCGCCGCCTTCAAAGTTTTATCAATGTTCTCGTGCGCTCTCCGAATGGAATGTGTCCTTAGCTATAACAGGAAGACACAGAAATCAATACAAAAAACAATACAAACATCGAAATTCTGATTGGTAAACGATCTCAAGATCTTACCAGCTCCCGAAAAATGGTAACCGGGGAAGAACATATTAATCAAGCATATCAGAAAGCCCAATTTGAAACCAGAAAGGCTGACGTACCTGAGTGGGACGCATGGCCGTCTCTAGGGCAGAGAGACGATGGTCGAAGGAGCCAAGAATGGCAACCATGTTGTCCGTAAATGTCTGGCTCTTCTGGAGAGACTCCCTCATGAAGGCCGCTCTCTGGCTTAGGGTTTCCATGGCCAAAGGAACCCCCATTGCTCTCCCTCTCTCTCTTTCTGAGGGAGCCTTATTCTCTGGGTTGTAATGGTGGTGGTAGCGCCCTGCGTTTGGAGTCGATCCACTAAAATATTGCCACGTTAAAAGTGGGTAACGTTCAACCAGGAATGAAGGTTTCCTAAAAAGCCCATAATCCTTTGCTGGCTTCGAAGGATTTTATAATTTCATTCCCGACACAAACCAAAACGCTTACTTCCTCTCTTATTAACAGGCTGATCCTGGTGAAACTCCGGCTTTGTCCTTTGGAACAACGACACTACAGTGGGGCAGCAACCTGGACTAAAAATCTGGTGAACAACAACAGAAAAAACGAACAGACAAGATATGAACAAGGAAGAGAGATTCAACGGACAAAGAAAATCTGATTTGATCTTGTAACTGAAACGGAAATCTATTCTATGTACTTAAAACACACTTGTCCATGTCAGCGTCCCTCTCCATCGTCCTCAAGCAATTATCTAAAATGAGAAATTTTTGAGCTTTTGTGTCTGCATGCCCCGTCAAGAACTAAAGGAAGCGAGGGATTTAGAAGGGATGGGAGATCAGACTCGAACGCATAACCACCTTCGCCCAAGGATGGAGACTGGAGACCAAGAAGACCGATGGCAGCGGGAAACAAATGGAAAGAAGAAGAAGAAGAAGAAGAAGAAGAAGAAGAAGAAGAAGAAGAAGAAGAAGAAGAAAGAAAAAAGCGAATAAGAAGAAGGGAGTGCTGACCGCCGGCAATGGGAAGGAGATTCGTTGGCAATGGTCCAACAATGGGAACTGATATTCAAGGTTTTTCGAAACTGGTTCGATTTTCAGGAAAGAGAAAGAATAAGAACCGAGTCTCCTTTTCTTTCAGGGAAGAAAAAGGTTTTTCCCCTTTTTATTTTACTCAAAATTGATTCGTCCCTTTTCAGGCCCAACGATCCCCCCGTTGTCCTGATCGAGTGGAAGAGGAGCAAAATGGGAATTATAGAAGAACTGAGGGGTAGTTCAGGATTTCTACTGGGTAGCCAGGGGCTAATTAGGGCTTTTGATAGAGATCAAGTTCAAGGGTCGTTTTGTTCCGTTCAGTTTGGGGAAAGGGAATTTCTTTGTGGATGTAAAGGCATTTTGGTCATTTGAGTATGGATGTACAACAGGCCACATGGGTGTCTCAGGAGATTCTCTTTGGAAGGTAGTGGTTGGAAGGAGTTGTATATACGGTGGATATCAATTTTAGAGGTGTTAAGGTGTTATAGTTGAAAATACACGTCTAATATTTTAGCCAATCTAGAACTCCAAAAGGGAATCTATATTAGATGGGTGGTCAAATGAAGGGATTTTCCATTGAAATTTGATGAGCGGATCAATCTTATTTTCCTGGAACTAATAGCAGTGTCTGAGTAGTCTTAAGGTAAGCCATTCAATGAGATTGTGATCTTGATGGAACTATTGGCACCGTTTCATTGGTTTTAAGCCAATCAATGGGATTTTGATCTTGAAGGCCCCATCTAATCTGGATCATACAAATTGCACAAAGGGAGAGTTTATTGGCAAATAGTTTGATCTTAGGGTGGCGATTAGTGGTTTTATCATTATTTGGACGATCAAGATTTCGTGGAGTTGTCTGTCTTTTATCGCAATAGGAGATCTTACACTACATGATGTTAGAAATACTAATGGTCTATTTGGTTCATGGGAATAGGGGTCCAGCTGTTTGGTTGGGCACGCGCGGAATCCCATTCTCATTCTTCATGGAATGGCATTCCCCATTTGAGGGAAAGATCATTCCCTCCCCCTCCCTTGAGAATGAAATTCCATTTCAGCATATTTGAATTCTCATTCTAATTCCTGTCTAAGCTAAACAGACAGTGAGAATAGATCCTTCCGATTCCAGCTTCAAAGGATTTTGATTCCGATCCCGATTCTGCGTAGAAAAATGGAAGGAAAGGAAACATACAAATCTTGTATAGGTTTTCATGTCTTTCCCTACAACCAATATTAAGAATAGAAATATGTGAGTTGACGATTTGAGGGTTTTGAGAATAATGGAGTAGTCTTGAACCAATTATTTAGTTGATTCTATAGACCAATGTTTTAAAAACCGACCTAGAGGCCGAACCATTTTTGCCTCTGGGTCGTAAGTTATTGATTTGATCGGACTGGTTGAACGGTTCAGATTGTGCCACATCAACGCATATATGTATTAAGTATATATATATATATGTGTGTGTGTGTGTGTGTGTAAGTATATTTTTAGCAATAAATAATGTATAAATATATTTTAGATATCTTATATGTATTATCTTATATTTAATTTATGTTTTTAAACTTTTTTTATTTATAAAAAATATTAAAAATTATAATTTGAGGCCAAAAAAGGGTTTTTTTGTAAAAATAGTAGGGCAAGGCACTTACTTCACCTTTGGATGCAAAGATCTCAAAAGTTAAAAAAAAAAAAAAAAAAAAAAAAAAAAAAAAAAAAAAAAAAAAAACTCAATCGGACATCAGAGTGCAAAGTTATGACCTCTAAAAGTTTAAATGCATTGAGTGTGCAACCCGTGACCCGATCACTAGGTCAAACAGTTCTTGACTAAGTCAACAGTTTTGCCCATTTGGCAAGTCTTGATTGAACCAGACCCAGAATCTTGGCCGGGTGATGATTCAAATGATTTGACCAGCCAGATCAATGGCGAGTTGAAAATATTGCTATAAACCAATTGTTTATCGAGATAATCAGATCTGACCTGATTATACTTGATATCCATAATTACCTATGATAATAACAACTTAGAACTTCATTTTTTTTTATAATATTACCTTAATAAAAATGTGAGTAAATAATAATCTGTTTATATGTTGATAAAACAAGTATTTTTAACCAAAAATGTCTTAGGTATTTTACCGTTGGTTCATTGTTCTTTGTTCTTTACAATAGGATTTTAGATTTAATCTCATTTCTTGTAATGGTAGTTTTTTTTTTTCAACAAAGCTCCCAAAAACTTCATTACTTCATAGTTAGAAAGGTGTTTACATGAAGACCATTTGAAGGGAAATGGTATAATCAGTGTCCTCTTCCTACATACTTTGTAAGCAATAGTGTGCCTGTCTATTCATATATGAAATTTCATATACATTAGAATAATTTAGCAGCTGCCCTATTTTGACGATGTGTATAAGAACCACCCATATTGATACTTGAAGAAGAAGAGTGAGTGTTTATTCTATGTGTTACCACAGGGTGATTGTGAGTGAAATTGTTGACTGCTGCTACAATGTTCATGGGATGTGGGTTTATATTTTCAAACAATTTGCGGTTTTTTAGCATATCCCATATGAATATTAGGGCAATAGTTACTTTTTTCTAAGAGTAGGGATGTCAATGGACCAGTTTTGGATTGGACCCCATCCAAACCAAAATCAATTTGGATGGATTGGATAGACCAACAAGGCATATTGAATTGGACCAGTCAAGACTTGATGGTCTAAAGTATTTATTGGATTAGATTGGACCTGGTCCATCCCTACTGAATTTATATTAGATAGGATTGGATTGAGCCAATATCTGGTCCATTGATAGAAAATAAGAACATAGGTGTCAATGGACCAGGTTTGGGTTAGGATTAATCTAAATTAAAAAAAAAATAATAAATTGAACAGATTGGAGGATGGTCCAAACTTTGAATCGGACCAGTCCAAAATGATCCAATGTATTCATTGGATTGGATTGGACCTGGTCCATTTGTAATGGACTCACATTGCACTGGATCGGATTGGACCAAATCCAGTCCAATTCACACCCCTATCTAAGAGTGTTTTTTTTTTGTCCATCTTTCTTGATAGTAGAGTGCATCATTTGTTTTTCAATCAATCCCCTCCCCTTAGTGGGAACCGGGAAGATAGGCATTTAGAACAAATCATAGGGTTTGTGTAAACGAACATAATATGAAGAGAGGGTGGACTAGTTCAGTCTTGGTGCCACAGAATTAGACATAGGCTATGAATTACATCATGAGAAAAGATGTTTCATTTTTTGTATGAATTACATCCCAATAGAGTTTCCATTGTGAATCTAAGAATGGAGGTGTTTCAGAGTTGGAGACACTAGCTCTCCTTATTTCTTGTGTAGCTCTTCACTGTTGTGGTTGATCTAGAGATACAGAAATGAGCACGTTTTTTGAACATAAAGCTTTCAACCCCGTGGCCATAATTAACCATGCAAGAGCTGCTAGTGACTTCTTCATTTCTATTGATGGACTCCCTCTCACCACCACCATGGTGTATAAAGAAACCCGATCTGCTCCTCACACCTGGCACTTCACAGGCGCCTTACATGCACATCCTACCATGCATTGGGAACTTCTCCCATATTTATTAGTTATCATTCACGGGAGATGTTTCCAATGCACAATGGATGTGCCTGTGAGGCACCCATTTGTGAGCAGCAGATCCCGTTTCGTGTATAAACACCATAATTGCTGATTGTATGGACTATGGAGCTTCTTCAGTGCCTGTCTCTTCATTCTCAATTTATCATACGAAGTTGAATGCTAACAGGGCTACACATAAGTTGGCATGGATTGCCCTTGATTGTACTACTATTACTATTTGGTCGAAATTCACTGAATTGCTGACTTTCGTTGTGCTTTTTTATATTCATAACTAAGATGAATGAAATCATTTACTTGTCTAAGAAAATAGAGCTTCCATAGAAGGGAAAATCTATGATGCAGAAAAGATATGGTATAGGAAGAGTTTTGACCAATCAAAACCCACCCATAAATTTTGATAAATAACACCTAATTGACTATCACGTTTATGATTCCATTTGACTGGTCAGAAGTTTTTCAGATATCATATCGTTTCCATATCATAGTCCAACCCTCCATAAAAATAATTGTAATAGTGGTTTACACTTGCAACCTACCTCTGTCCAAATGGTTTGCATATGTTTCTTGTTTTCTTTAGTGTGATAACCTTGTCTTGTGAATTAAAATGCTGATTTCAAGGAATCAATTGAGTGGGGATTTTATGTAATGCGTTGAAATGAAAAGCTGTTGGGTCACTTGGTATGATTTCATAATCCCTCTATTGTATTCAACGTGTAGTTTGGTAGTTTCAATAATGCTTGAATTAATGCATGATTATATGAATGTTTATGTGTTTATGTGTTTGGTTTTATCATTTTTTAGGTTTTTGCTTCGGTTTTGAAGACCCTATTAGAACATTTTAAGTATTGGAAACAAATTGCATGCTTGGAGCAAGGATGGCTACAACTCTATTTCCTGATTGAGCTCCCATAGAGGGAGGTGATATGCATTTTTTATTTTAATTCTTATAAATAAGGTATAAGGGATCCTAGATAGAAGAAAGGGAAGAGGGACGAATACCCAAACTCCATTTATTCCTTTAAGGGCCACTTCCCTCAAAAAGGAGAATTAAGAGATTGAATTATCTATAAAATCCTCCTCTCATAATTAGGCATTCTCTAATCCCAAACCTTTGGGTGGAAATTTCCAAAGCCTTTAAGTGTTGGGTTGTCTAATAGATAAGATTACTCAAGCTCTATAGTATAGTCAACTACCTAGAGATGTATAGTTAATTAACTGTGACAACTAAGGCATGAACTTCTGTGAATGTGAGACATTATCAACTAACCCAAAAGGCATAATTGACCACTTGTGATAGTTGAGGCATAAAAATGTCTAGTTTGAGAGATGTAGTTGATTACCCAAAAATGCATAATCGACTAACCTAGACAAACCAAGTTCAAATTTGTTACCAATTGGTTAATAAGAGAAATCGGTTAACTAAGAAAGGAAAGAAAAGATTCTTCCTTTCGTCAAGTAGACGACTAACAATTCTGATAGCAAACTAATTTGGAAAAAAAATTGACCATTTGAA